GCATCTTTGATCTTCATTTCATCGCCCATCTCATCTATGAATAACTTACATCTCGGTCCCTGTCTTTTGGATTTTGCGCCTTTTTTGAGTTTTTCTTATTTTTTCTTCTTCTTCATTTTTTTTTTCCAATTTCTTGTTCAACCATTGAGTTTGCCTATTTAATACAAAAATACAACTGTTTATACTATATTTCATTAGAGGAGCAACTGAATATCACTATTTAAAGTTCTGAATAAGTGTATAAAATACACTTGTGAAGTACAAAAGTGCAGCCGCAGTGCCAAATAAAAAAATGAAACCACAGTGCAAAGACTGCACCAAATGAATCTCTTTGTAACCGTATGATACACACACCTTCCTGCAGATGAGTTAATGAAATAAGAAAACATTAATATCAGAATCAAACTCCAGCAATTCACTCACATAAGCATCTTTATACAAAGCATTCGAATATGGAGCAAATGCACAAGCCTAAAACAAGTTTTCCGCTTTATTTACTTACAAATCTGTTATGCCGATAAACCACAGCATATTCAACACAGGTAAAACAATTAAGAGAAATGTCCTGTAAAGTATATAGGAGAAAAGTAAAGCCTCGGAATGCCATATGCAATTCCAGCTCTATGCTAAGAGCTTGAACCAAAAACTCGGATTCTCTGTTCAATTGGAACCCTACAGCAAGGACATGTAGCTTTTCCTTTCTTCCCATATTTTTCATTGCAGTTTGCGCAAATGACTTGATGAGCACAGGGAAGAAAAACGACAGAAACTTCGTCCTTCATGCAAATTATGCATTCCCTGTCATAGCTAACCTCCTCTGGAGAATCCTCCAAATCCAACTCATGCAGCAGACTTGCAATGGTTTCTCCTTCGGGCTTCATGCCATCGGAGTTTGCTGTCAACAAACGAGCAGATGGATTTTGCACCTCTGTAGATGGTGCTGACTCTTTAAGGCGTGCAAATTCTTGCTCGAGACGGTGCAGATCATCCTTGTGGCGCTGGAAGTCGATCTCTATCTTCAAACGGAGAGCCTCGAGCTTCCTTTTGTTGCTAGACTCAGCTGCTTCTTTGAGGTGTCGCTCCTCCTCCAGCTGTGCAAAAGCTAGCTCTTTACTCTTCTGCTCCTGCCTCCACTTTGCCTGTCATATAGTGGTTTTCAATATCAATTGCAGATCAATAGTTAGAGAGGAAAGAACAGCAATTTTCATAATGTGCAACAAAAAGGGGTAAAAGTCAGTAAAATATTTACACGATCAAACAAGAAAGAGAAGAACACTAGCAATGCACAAATCACACACACACGCAAACGAGAGCAAGCTATGTGCAGCACGAGTGTGTACAGCGGGAGTGCACGAGAGAGAGAGGATTGGGGTGGGGGCATCCAGCAATGTGACGTTATTTTATGCATTGACTTCCAAAACAACCAATTCACACGTCATCTCTGATAACTTAAAAGAAAAAAAGATATTTAATTAAAGTCCCAAAACCTTACTTATCAAACAGCAGGAAGACGACAGACAAACATTTTCCTGCAAGTTTGCGGTGGAACAAGAAACTTGGGTATTAACTATTACGAGGATATTATCATAAAAATAACAAATTAATATTTGCGCAATGCTAGGGAGACAGCTTAAGGGGCATAAAAATCATTTTGATAGTTAAAATATCAGTACATTAAAGGGTTGAAGTACAACAAACCTCAGCTTCTTTTGTATCCGCATCGGACTGAGCCAACTCCTGCTGCAACTCTGAGATCTTCGTTTTCTCTGCAGCAATATCCTCCTGAAGTTTTGTTTTCTGTTTCTCCCAAGCCAAAAGCCTCTTGAGGCACTTTTTCTCCCTTTTTGCTACTTCTAAACAGGTTATGACTGATTCAGATGCACTTAGTTTAGAGGCCTCCATCTCTGCTCTAATTTCAGCATTCTCAGTCTCAAGCTTCCTAACAGCAGCATTTGCACGGTCCACTTGGCCACTTGCCTTTCTCAGAGCATTCTCCATTTCAGACAGCCTCTTCATGGTAGAGTCTTCAAGGGTCTGTTTCCCCTTTTTCATCCGTTGGTTCTCCTCTCTCTCCATCCTTAGCATCTTGAGTTCAGTCAAATCATGACTGAGCTTTCTTGCAGCTTGCATTGCCTTCTGGTGAGCCCACTCTTTCCGTTCTTTCACTTGTTTCTCTAACTCCTTTATCTGATTGATCAAGCTTAAAATCATCTCATCTTTCTGATCCAACGAGACATTTTCTGTTTTCTCATTAAGGTTCAAGTCCCGAAACTTACTCATCACTGAGTTTACAACATCTTGGTTCTTTGCATATTGAGACTCCTCACTGTGCATAGCCTCAACCTCAAATCCTGTTCCACATCCACTTGATGACTCCTCACCAGACAAAGAACTCGGACAAGGCTGCACTTGACTGTTAAATTGCTTTGAGTTTGCCCTAAACCCTGCAGCAAACATTGCAACATTCCTCTTCAATAAACTCTTCATTGATGGACTGAGGTTAAACCTCTTTGGACACTCTATCTCCCTCTGTGGAACCATATCTGCCGTGTAAGACAAAAAACCGTTCACTCCATTCATCGGGAACTCAGCCATCCCATTGTTCCCAAAACCCCAACCACCATGAAACTGACACAATGCTGGGGCAACCATACCAGTTCCTCCGTTACTAACGCCATCCTCCACACTCCCATTACCACTCGCTGAGCTACTCTCGCATCCATTACCATTATTACCAGGTGAGGGTAAAAGCGGGATTTCCATCACGCTAGCACGACCGACATGAAGATTACTCATCAACAAACACCACATAGCATCACCCTTACTCAAATGGGGTTTGACTTGTTGCAACAAACACACCATTCCTGCAAGCGAATACTCTTCCAGCTGCCTCAAGTCTTTGCATGCAGGCTCAAGCTCCTCCGGGTTTGGGACACTACAGCCACTACTCAAATAGGCCAAAGAGTTCTGTAATACATTAGTCAGCACATCATTCCCACCATAACAATGCCCATACCTCAAAATAGCCTTTAAAGCTACATCTTCGTCATAACCCAACACAACAAGCTTATTTAACGCCTCATTATACAAATACTCCAAATTTTGTAGCAAGATTTCCTCCAATTCTTCTTCCGTGCAGTACCCCCACCCGCTGTCATCAAAACCAGAATTCTGGTTGGGGTTTGACGCCGAACACGAGTCTTGGGTTGAAGAATTAAGCATCATAGGGTAATTCTTAGGTTTAATAGAAGATCTCGGATTTGTCAATGTTTCCTCATTATTATTCATAGTGGTGGTGCTTGTGGAGTGATTGGATTCGAGTTTTACCGGTCGATTCTTCCTGCTAGTCCTGATGTGCTTTTCCCTAACAGTACAACCCATTTGGGGATCTTTCCAAATTTGATTAAAAATTTGGCAGAACCCTAAAAAATAAAGGGAAAAACATATAATCAGTAAACATAAAACTACAAATTCGTATGAAGGCAAGCACATATGTATAAATAAAAACTTACAGATCGGATGATGAATCTGAGATCAATTGAGTTCCAAAGTTA